CACACACACACACACACACACACACACACACACACACACACACACACACCTTTACCTGTCCGCTGATATAATACAGAAGAACTAAAGCATTTCAGTCCGTAGAATTGCTGTATTATCTCAAAGTCTCGGCACGTGTGCCGTGAAGTCAGGCTGGCATCATCTCTTCTCAGCTGCCCGTGTTGATTGAGGGCAAAAGGATCCTTACCTGGAACAGGAAGTTGTTTTTGAAGAAAGTGCAGACGACTTCGCTGGACTTTTTCGCCGCTTGCTTCAGAGCGCGGGGGAGGTGGACTGTGGTACTGGACTCTGCGGGCACACCTTTAGTGGCCTATATCCCACAATAAACAGAGAAAGGACCACTGCACGGTTAGAGACGGCATACCAGGGTTTGTGTTAATTCACTCTCAAGTCAACGCATGAAAAGAGAAGTGGAAACCCACTGTCCATAGTGTTGTTGAACCGCCCTGCTGTTCTGTCCCATACTGTCACACGGAGGTAATTACTGTGGTGGATCTGCATGTGGATTGCTGGGTGCTTACACACATGGCCCTATTTTAAGGCAACATGCCACCTTTCAAAATCCGTCCTGTACTTGTCAGTAAAGTGCTGCCATCGTTTGCTTTCATGTGGTTCACCTCTCACCTATTTTCTCCACTAAATCACCACCACCCTGAACTCGAATGAAATGTTAACGCAGCTACTCATTCACCGAGTTAAACGCCTCCTATAAAGTGAGCCTGATTAAAGAGAATGGACGTGGACAAACAGCCTCCTCAGTCGAGCTGCATTATACTGTGGAGCAGAGACACTCTGTCCACCCGTAGGGGGGGAAATAGACTGAGTGAATAAATGAGTTCATTTTTGAATCACTGAATTACTCTGAACTGTCCATCACTAACCAGGAATGTTCTCTTTGCTCCCACCAAAGAAGACATTTTAACTTTATATTTCATCTTTGTAGCAGCTATTGCTATCTTACTTCCCTAAACAAAACCAGCTACATGGAAATATGTCAAGTCCCTTACTTAGAAATAATCAGTGTTAGGATTCCCTATAATTATTATACATTACATCTGCTATGGTTCCAGCTAAACATGCACAAGAACACACATAAAATGTATGCGTGTATTCCAGTTTCTGTTTGTGTCACAGAGGAAATGCGCTTCATTTTCGACTACGCAACTAAAAGGCAATGAAGAGGGAACAGGTGTGGTCACACTCTTGCTGATGTGGCCTGTGTAGGCTGCCGAAGGTTAGCTCATGTCAAAGTTTATTCTTGACCTCAGAAACAGAAGTTTATACGTCGATATGATAATGTTACTAAATAGGCCTGGTGGTGAGATTGTTTTCTCAGCTGTTGTTTAAAAGGATGAACTTTGAGTCTGAGCAAACTTTATTTCTTTTGAGTGTGTATGTTATCCTCACAGGCGCCGTGATGTTGTAGCCTCTGAAATCCTCCTTCATGTCCACCTGAGAGCTGCGAGCACACGGATGCTCCATATTCCCAACAGCCGAGGACTCTCTGCACACACACATCAACACACACCACCATGATGAAAATGGTAGCTTCAGAAGGTTTTAAAAAGCATGGTTATTTTTGTAACCACCCCCCCACCCCCCCACCCTAACATGGGATTAACTTTAGCTTCCTGTTTGTAGTCAAAATTCCCTGGATTACATAAAGCGTGATTACATGAAGCGGACTCAGTAATTAAGACAAAGTCATGTGAAAAAGGATGCGATTAAAAAAAAGAGAGGAAATTACATGCTGACTTGGGTGGATCCCTGGTTCTCTTGATCACATAATGCTTCTGCAAAAAACAACACAGTTTGAATTTGACACATTAAACTGTGACACTTAACCATGAATCTTCTTTTCATTGAGTTTGGCTTGAATGAAGTTTTGAGTCTGAACAACAGGATATCTTAACACTTAACGTGGAACCCTTCATCCTGCTGAATACATTTCATTCACAGATGTACTGTAGATGGCATTTGTTCTCCCTTACTGCAGTCGATGGAACTTCCTTTGAACTTGTAGGCTGTCATTATATTGCGCTGGATTAAATCCATTTTGACCGTTCCATTGATGATGCCGTAGCGTGCCTCGGGTGTGTTGGCACCATGAGACAGATCGGTGCAGCAGGAGCCCTGCATGCTGGTGGGCCAGCACAGAGTGAGGTTCTTCCCTCTGACCTGAACAGCGAGAGAAGAAAGAAAAACTGATGAGTCCTTGCTGTCCTCTCACATGGAGCCAGCTTTGAAAAGAAAAAACACGTTATCTTCAAAAGAAAAATGTGGGCTCCTTTTACCTGCAGCTTCAACTGGTCCAGCAGTGGCTCCCAGTACAGACAGAATGGAGTTTCCTCCTCGGAGTCGAGGCCGAGCTGCTTGAGGGGGATCACTTCAGAGCGCCTGCACCGAGCTGTGATCTGCCCGTCGATGGACAGAGAGCTCTGACCTGCTGAGATGGAGATCTCGCTGCAGCCCGTGGAGAGGCTGACGTTCAGGCTCAGGTTGCCCTTCTCATGGCGCCAGGTCCCACAAAAGTCCAAGTCCGTGTCATTTTCACTTAAACCTGAAGGAGACAAAATGTGTAGGCACACACTGACAAAAGGTCGCTTGGTGTTTGGTTTCAACCCTTAAGAAAGTTGCTCTGACGTCCTGAGAGGACAAACATGTCTGTGTTAGAATACTGCCAGAATATGATGCTTCATCATTACCAATGATTCATTCATTTTCAGAATTCTAACCCTTTAAATGCCAGTTTGTTTACATAATGTCACTGTGAAAAAGATCACAAACATTTCCTTATTTCATACTTAATGCTAGATTTCTATCACAGTCGAGGGTATGTCAGTAATGAGCAACAACATTGACTTTGAAGCATTGCATCAAACACATAATACAGCAGCAATGTAAAAAAACATGTATTTGCCCTATGGGGCAAATACATGTGTTTGGTTAAATGTTTGGTTAAATGTGTTTGGTTAAATGGTTAAATCTGGTGAAACATAGTAAAAACTACAAATGCAGAGCTGGAGAATGAAAGCCTGATATAACAGAATGCATGCTTCTACACTATAGCGGCTGAGGGATCAATACATGTGGTTAGTCCTTAAGGAGGGTCTGTATTTTGTCTACACAGTTTATTATGGACTTATTATAGGATGTGAGGTACAAAATTTGAAAATAAAATCATGCCAATACGTAGGCCATATAACACAGCCAAAATGATTGAACAATTTAAAATTCAAAAGGCCAAACATGTCCCGAGTGAGGCGTAAGCGTTAAAAAAACAAACACTGGAGGTTTACACACAGAACAGATTTGTCTAATAATAAAGGAAATCTGCATCTTTAATCATCTTTCAATATTTCTATGGGCTCTAATATTGGTCAATCGGAGTTCCTCATCACCAAGGTTACATGGCCTGCTCATGGTGGCATGCAGCGAGTTACCAAAATGCCAAACCGCCACCGCGAGGAACTGGAGCGTGCCGCAGGCAGGCAGTCTGTACTCTGGCAGAGTTTTTTCTTTTAGCACAGGTTTACAAAGAGAGACAACAGATGTAATTCAGAAGTATTTCATTTCACAACCTCAACGTCTCACTGACCCTGTGGAGCCCACACAGTTAGCAGCAAGTGGAACTTTTCCTGTGTCGGCAGAATATTCTCATATTGTTTTAGAAGGCACTTTACCAGTAATGCTACACTTATCATATTAACACACTATGGCAATTAGGTCATTAATTACACTGTTTGATGACAAATATATGTTCGACTGTTACTTATACATTATGTACATAAATACAGAGTTACAGCAGTTTAAAGTCGCTGTGTTTTGTTCAAAAGCAAATGTACGTGACAAAAGCTCAGAAATGGTGTGAGATCATCTCCTCCACAGAGGAAACGTGCGGTGTCTGTTTGAAATCTTTATCATGCGCCGTGTTTGATCGTCTTTACTCGAATATCTCTACATCATAATGAACAGCGGGCCAATAGAGCCACTTCAGATGAAAGTGGGTTCCTTTTTGTCCCGGTGTGGTTATCTTACCTGTAGAGAGGAGGATGATGAAGACAAACACCCCCCCCCAGGTTATCTCTCAGCCGGGGCTCCATTGGTAACGACTGCCGTTGGGAAACAAAGAGAGAGAAATGCAGTTGTAAAAGAGGACCACGTCTGTATCTCCTCTCTGCATGGGCAGGGAGAGCCAACCACTGAAACCTGCTGCTGGTGAAGTGTGTGTGTGTGTGTGTGTGTGTGTGTGTGTGTGTGGGGGGGGGGGTTAAATGGAACGACATTGTGATATAAGTGTAAAAAGCACAACACACATTGATCTCTCACGTTATTTCTACGAGCAAACACACATCCGACATAAAACAAAAGGCCCTATCTAGAGGCAGCACAGGTTAACACAACACCATGTTTTTAATGATACTATTCTTACCCAGAAGCTTTGTTATCTGCACTCTCTTATCAATGAATACAAATGAGTTGCTGCTCAAAATACACACAGGGGCCTTTCTGTGCTGTTATCAATGGAAACAGTCTTCCCCTTTAACTGGCACACACACACACACACACACACACACACACACACACACACACACACAGTCTTTCCATCCCCATGTAGCAAGTTGATTTTCTCGTAGCAAGTAAAAAAAGAAACGTGGCTGATTTTGCCTGTTTCAACATTAATACACAGATGTTACATTATTGGATAAAAAGAGAAGACAATACAAATTTCCCTGAAAAAGATCACTTCAGGCCATGTGAGACTTGAATCATGTGAGCATTACCACACAGACGTGTGTCAATGGACCACACGCAAACATTTCTGTCATTTTCAGTTTCTACCAGACATGCCGACTCATTCCCGGCAGCTGCCACTGCACACACTTTCCAGGTTTACTAGATGCCTGCGTATCACAACCCACTTATCAACTTATCATTCAGCCGTGGTCACACCTCGCAATTTCAAACACGGCAAACAAACGCTGTGCAGTGACGGTGACAGCTTGTGTAGAGATGCAGAGGCAGATTTTGAAGGTTGTGGTTGTCCTGACCTCAACATCACAAGACGGGAAACAGTTGGAACCGTAGACACAGTAGAAAGGAACAGCAACGGAAAGGAAAGACAGACAAAAAGATACAGAGAGAAACATCAAGCTGCAAAGCCTGGGGGGGTTGCCTATTTATAACGATGTACTCTGAAACACACACCTGATACTCGAGAAGGACCTGAGAGCCTTGGACACTCAGACACAGACTCATAAACAAACACAAAAAGGATATTGAGCAACACAGAGCAACAACGGAACACTTCAACACGTTAACAGATATATAAGTTTTATATTTAAAGAGCGTCATTCACTGGTATTGACTGTTCACTGTAATCAAACTAATTGAACTAGCTGCTTCACGTGTTGCTTCAGAGTCAGCAGTGACATGCCAACCTTTAGCTGGTATAGTGTTCTATCTCGCTAATTGCTCTGAAAAAAAGCAATCTTTCAACAAGCTGTCTGGAAACTCCACGCAGCAAAACGTCTCACGACTGGGCTCAGAGTTACTGCAAAGCCTGACACTGTACAAACAGACTTGTATTCAGAGCTTTCTACTGCAAAATGGAGTTTTTTGAGTTTTGCTGGAATGGTTTGTTCTGTGGACAGAAGTTTGGGAGCAGAAGGTGCAGAAATATTCAAAATGTACAGAGCAGGACGATGCTGCGTTCCAGACGAGCCCTTGGTCGGAATTTTCAGTTCAAATTTCCAACTTCTGACCTCCAAGAGCTCCAGGTGCACCACGACAAACGTAAACAAAACCACGGCGGACCGGGACTAAATTCTTTGGCAAGTGTCCACGCGATTGAACTCTCAGCAGTGCACCCTCCACACTTTGAGTGGCGTTCCATTGTACTTTCTTAGTACGGGGTCGGAAATGTTTGAGTTCCGAGTTGTCTGGAATGCAGCACTAGCCCTGGTCCAGTTAAAGCTAGCTTTAACCAGGTCTAACTGGTGATTTTCATCAAATATACAAATTCAACCAGCACAAAAAAGCGAAGGCTGAATGAAATCAATACGAAAAGACAGATTATTTTCACTTCAGTTAAAACACACGGAGATTGTGTGAAACTGCAACCGCTGTCTATTTGACACGGCATGACTTGGATCCTTTGTGGTTTTGACACTTCCCTTTTTTTGATAATTCAAGGGCGTCAATAAAAGCTTGATGAAAAAGAAAGGTGTTTAAGTGTGACTTCATGTAGCTTTATGATGGAACACACGCCATTGTAATGCCTCAGCTGCTCAGAAAGTTCAGTAAAAAAAGAAAACAATGGTTTATATTTACTATATATTTAATATTCTTAGAATAGAGGCAACAGCTCAGAACTGGTTCGGACCCGACCGGCTCTCAACGACCAAAAGAGTACATGCAGCTAAGCTGCATAAAGATGTGATGGCGGTCTACTATGCTAGGCCATGCAGAAACTTGCTGTGGTTGCACCGTGGCCCACATAGCCCTTCACAAACCTACCCATCATGCACAGGTGTGCTGTCAATGCGTGCTCTCATTTTGCAATATCAACATATATTTTGCGATATAATAATAAACATTTGACAGTCGTTTGAGTGATTTCAGAGCGAAGAGTTCATTCTAGAAGTTAACTCACTTGTCAAATTCATGACTCAGATCATCCATCATGAGATCTTTAACTGCCATCAAAATCATTTATGCCATTGTTTATATGTTGTTGTTTGGTTTTGTATATGGGGGGGGACTATTGTTGCGTGCTGTGTTGTACTGGGACGTGTTTGGCCGTGGCACAGTGACAGCAGGAGGACACGTGAAGCGGCATAAATCACTCAAAGTGGTAAAGTAAAGTAAACTAAAGTCAAAGTGTTATGGTTCAAGTTAAAGTGTTCATATTTCCCTCAGCTGTGTGCAGCCAGTGAGGTATTCATGTCAATTCGTCATCGTGCATATTTGCGTGCAAACTGTGTTTGTGTAATGTTAACGTCGGATTGTTTTCTATGTCTAAATGTATTTATACAGTTCGACGGTGGATTGAGGATGGTGGTGTAGAAGGAGGAATAAATAAATCCATCAGTAGAAGGAACTAAAGGTGTCGTGTATTAAGAGGGAGGGATAAGATCTGAGCATGAAACTTCCATGTCAGCTGAGCAAACTTTTTTTGTGGTTTTCTTTTCATTGGTGCGAGTTGCCTAGTTTTGGAGATATCGGCCGTAGAGACGTCTGCCTTCTCTCCAATAGATGGCACTGGACTTATGGTCCTCAGAGCGCAAAAAAAAAAAAAGAAATACATTTGAAAAGTCAACAACAATGTTTCTTTCCAGAAATCATGACCCGGTTACTCAAGATAATCTGCAGACCTTGCTGTGAGCAGTTTCATGTCTTCCACAGTTCCTACCTTACCTAGTTCCTCCAACAGACAATCGAATGACAGATAATGTAAAATGGGATGTTTTCAGAAAGCAACCAGAAATGATGTTAAACTACGTTTGGTGACAGCTACACACACTTCAAACAATGTCCATGTTGGCTGATTCAATTCAGACCAGCCCCAGGAGCACACAGCCGTGTTTTGGGTTTTAAGTGATGACCCATTACTCAAAAACAAGACTCTCGAGCACTCATTCAGCATCACGCTGGTGACTCACCCCAGCCTCCACCAGATCCCGCACGTTACAACTCTCTGACTACAGCCGCCGAATTGATGACGACGAAACACAACTGCACTGAGGGAAGTGCCCGGAGTGGCCCCGACCACAGGCAGCAGGCTACACAGTGATGGGCTCAGTTCTGTAGAAATGTTTGAGAGATGGCGAGAGTGTCCCCCCCACCACCAACACAAACCCTTCTGTGCTCAACATGTAAAAAGTGTTACCACTACGTAGCGTGTATGTATATGCATTTAACATTTAAAAAAGTGTCAGATCCTTTGTATGGGGCTTGAAAACACAACTTTACTTCCAGCTGAACCCACCTATAATCTCCCTCTCTCAACTGGCTGAACTGACGTGTAAACTACCTCCCTCTCTTCCCCCACACCCTCTCTATTGTCCCTGCAAGGCGTCCAGGCATCAAGAATTTCCCCTTTTCTTTCACTTCCCAGCTCTCATGTGTGAGTGTGTGTGTGTTCTCATTTTTCAGTACTAAGCGCAAACAACCGAAACTTGCTGCCTCACTGCACTCGTCACTCCTCCGCACGTATAGCAGGATATAGAGCCCTGGCGGGTGTTAATGCGTGAATGCTCGCATAAACTCCAGCAACCCACGCATGTGTGAACGAGACGGGCCACCGTAAACCCCCGACCCCCCAGTCTGTCACTTTGTGATTTCCAGTAAAAATGATCCATGTGTCCTCCCATCGCTGCATCACACAGGGGTCTGACTCACAGCTTGGCTTCATGCAAAGTGGAACGGCAGCCAAAACAATGTGTGCCTCAGACAGCAGACAGGGGTGACAAGCTCCTCTGAGTCATGCCTGAGCCATTTCATGGAGATGGAGAGTTTTTATCTTCACATTTAGCCACAACTACTGCATGTATTGCCACAAACAAACAAAAGCCGGTGCAAGACGGACGAAAGCGAAAGCATTTGCCAAGAATGTTTTCATTAATCAAGAACGAAAGAGGATGATCTTTACGCACTTTGTTAATATTTCTGTTTTTTGGTGAATGTCTCAACAACCACTGGATGGGTTGCCATGACATGACTTTGGTCACCACCCACAGACTGTACATAAGAAGTGGACGTAGTCATCTGACGTCACCCGTTGGTTTGTTGACTGCCGTTTTGAAGCCTCAAGTTCGGCGTTTTGGCTGTCGCCATCTTGTTTTTTTGCAACCAGAAGTGACACGAGAGGGTGGAGCTAAGTACAACCAAACAACATTTTTAGGCGACTAAAGTGCTCCAATAAACTCAAATCAAAATTTGAATAGCTCCAGTGGTTTATGACCCACCCCCCCCGAAAACTATCTTTTGAGTTTAGTGCTCGTTGGCATGTTAGCAAACACTGTCATACACAAAACCAAGATGGTGAACATGGTCGACATACCAGCTAAACATTAGCGTGTT